GCTTCCGGATGATGCCCTTCTTGTAATACTGGCGGATAGAACGGCTCAGCTTGTCGTAGTTCATGGCCGGCCGGTTCTTGCGGATGCCCCACAGCCGGGCCACCTGAGCGGAGTCCTCAATTTTGAAGATGCCTGGGGGAGCAGGTGGGCCCAGAGAGAGCCAGCGGTGCAAGGCGGGGGTGTGCCAGGAGGGAGAAAGACCAAAACCAGCAGGTCAGTGTCGGCGGTGGGGGGTGAGGGCCAGGCTGGGGGCGTGGGGGGGCATACTATCTACTCCCAAGGTGGCAGCAAGGGTTAAGGAAATTTGTGCCCCAGTAAGTGATTAATGATACTATGGGGTCACAAACCTGCTGAGTGCAGGGTGAGCCTGCGTACTTTAGCGGGTTATTTGGGGCCCCGAGGGCCTGGCCCCTGCCAGCCTCTGCTCCTACTGTGGGGTTTGCACACCCTGCGCAGAAGCCCTATGGGGCTCTGAGCTGTGCCTACAGCTCATTTGTCAAGGTCATCCCCACTTCCGCCCCCGCCCCCACCACCTTGACCAGCAGCTCCCAAGCCTGAAAGACCTCTTTGCCATCCTCAGCCGAAGCCAACACGGCCCTTTCTGGTAGGATTAATTCAGAGCAGGTAGGGAAAAGAGTGGATTTGGAGACAGGCTGCCTTAGGTTTGAAGCCCGTCTCTGCCATATTCTACCTCGAGAAGCTGTTTGAGGCCCCTTTATTGTGAGGGTGGAGGGGATCGTAATGACTACTGTTTGTTGAGTGGCGACAGAAAGTGCTTACAGCGGAGTCTGACAGAAGTTTCCCTTGGGAGGAACTATTCATTGTTAACAATCCCAGTTCTCATTCTAAACCCTCCTGGCAAAACCCAAGCCAGCACACTACTTCCAGGGAGCCTTCCCAGACCACTTTGCCCTCCCTGATCTCCTCTCCCTAGAAGTCTATCATGGAACCGTCTTCCTGAGGACCGGGCTCGCATTAAGTCTCAAATAGACACAAGGGTTACCGTGCCTTGTGCAGGAACTTCTCTCCACGCCCTCTAGCCCCTATTTGTCCTTCACACTCAGCCCAAGTCACCACTCCCGGGAAGTCCTCCTGAACAAGGCACAGCTGCCCCCACCGCCCTGTCGCAGCCCCGGCACGCTCTGTACCCCAGCTCATTTCGCTGCTGGTTCTCCTATAACCTGCAGGTCCCTCGAGGACGGGGTGCAGCTGAATCCGCCCTGCACCAAAGGGACACTTACTCTCCGTAAATGTTGGCTGGGCTGGTGTGGAACCAGAGGATGTACTCAGTGAAGGTTTGTTGGAGGAATGAATCCTGTCCATTTTACATATAAGAAGACTGAGGTCCCAATACCCATAGCTACTAATGACAGGATAGGGCCTAGAACGCAGGTTTCTTGGCTCTGAGTCTTTTCCAACACACACACACACACACACACACACACACACACACACACACACACACCATCTAGTCCTGCACTGTCCAGAGGTAGCCACTAGCCGTATGTGGCCCTTGAATACTTGAAATGTGGCTAGTCCGAATTGAGATGTACTATAAGTGTAAAATACTCACCAGTGTTTGAAGACTTAGTAAAAATGTCTCATTAGTAATTTTTATATTATGTGTTGAAATTTTAATAATCTGTAATATTAGATTAAATAAAAGCTTATTAAAATTAAATTCACCTGTTAAGGGGCACCTGAGTGACTCAGTTGGTTAAGCATCTGACTCTTGA